TATATTTTAACTGGAAAGTTGGGGGTCATCTTATACGCCGGAAAATACGGTAATTAAACTGAAAAAGAGTAAAAAATATAGTTGAACAAACATGAAAGATAACTTTCCCAAAACATGTCAGTGAAGACATCCAGAAAAACATTAACTAAGCAATCTCAGCACTGAACAGGCAGGATAGGCTCAGACTAATACAAAAAGCAGTTGGAACACTGATACTACAGGTAGTAGAAGATAGATCCCTGCAAAATTTCTAGACAAATCCTGCTCTAATCTTGCAAACCTAGAGCTGTTGCTTTCTTGATTGAGTCTATCCACCTGTAGGTAACATAGATCCAAAACACACTGCAGAGATAATCCAGTTTGAGACTATTTTAACTGTCCTGGCTCAGTGCTAGGGAATCCTGGGGATTGCATTGGGGCGCCAGAGCTCTCTGACAGAGAAGGCTAAACGTCTCACAAAACTACAGTTTCCAGAATTCCCTAGTGCTGAGCCAGAGCAGTTAGAGCAGTCTCAAACTGGATTATTTCTGCAGTGTGTTTAGGACCATAGTCTTCCTCTTCCTCATGAAGCACTCGGTGCTGTTGTGTGCCTTCAAGTCATTTCCAACTTATGGCAACCCTAAGGTAAACCTATCATGGGGTTTTCTTGGCAAGTTTCTTCAGAGGAGGTTTGCTATTGCCTTCCCCTGAGGCTGAGAGAGTGTGACTTGCCCAAAGTCACCCAGGGGTTGCTTGGCCGATCTGGGAATCAAACCCTGGTCTCCAGAGTCATAATCCAACACTTAAACCACTATGCCACACTGTCTATATACCAGTGCAAATTATCAAGGAGATCCCAGCCTATAAATTCAAATAACCATTCCTCATGAGGAAGGCAATAAGGAAAGCAACTACTTTTGTTGGAGAACAGCAAGCACTTTCTGCCACACATTGCCATTGCTACTCATCTTCTTCTGGCTCAGTGCTGAGAAAATTAGAGAAGAGACAGGTAGCAGAAGAATAAACAATAGTCAGAGACAGAGTTCCAGTGGAACGCTCTGCACTGCGTTCTACCAGTGAATTGTCTACTGACAACTTTATCTCTTCAAGAGGTGACTCTGCAAACATAGACATCAGGGGAGGGAAGGAGGACCATTCAGCAGGGTGACCTACTCAACAGAGGAGTGTGGAGCTTGACTGTGGAATGGAAAAGCACTTTGAATTTTTAAAAAGAGAAGAGAACAGCCTTCCTCAATTACTCATTCAAACAGCACATAATTGTAGGAACTATTTGCAGCATCTTCTGCCAATTATCCTTCACTATCCCGTTTCTCTTGTCTCTAAAAGCAACAAGGTACTGTCCACCACTCATGGAGGCATGGATGCTTTCCCCTTCCTTCTTTAATACAGGCAAGACATCAAGCAAGTCTTATAGCAGCTGCAAAAAAGATCACAATGGATAGATCCATCTATTTCCTGTGTCAAGCTTGCTTATCTTTGTTTATAATCTGTGAATGTAATCTATGCATTTCTAAAAACATGCATGAAAATAGGTATGTAAAGTGTGAATCTACTCCTGCTTTTTTTAAAAAATGCATGTAACCGAAATGGACCTATTGGACATACTAGTCTTGGAGCTATATGCAGAGCCAGTGTGGTGTAATGGTTTGAAAGTTAAGACTCTAGGAGAGCATATCGTGAATCCCCACTCAGCCCTGGAAACTGGAAATTGGAAATCAACTGGATGACCCTGGGCAAATGACACTGTCTCAGTCCCAAAAGAAGGCAAGAATAAAGCTCGTCAAAAAATAACACCCCCCAAAAACCCCTAAAACCCCAGAACCCATAAATGAGAGCTGACACACAGAACAACAAATTGAATCTACAATCCATCTCTATAATTTATAGGTTCTTTAACATATGGATTAATAATGATTGTTATAGATTTTCTCTTTAGAAGAATTGATAATAATTCAGAGCGTGAAAAAACAACAACACCTCCATCATAATACTTGGTATTTGTCCACAGAACTGATCTGCCTCTTCTAGCCAGCTGAAGAGCTTTTGTTTTATTGAAGAGTGCCATAATATACTACAATATTTTATAAATCACAGCGTTGGAAGAGACCACAAGGGCCATCCAATCCAACTTCCTGACATGCAGGAATACACAGCTTGGTACTGTATAACTAATCCTCCCTTTTTAGACTGAGAGTATCTAACTGGTTTTAGAAACTCGAATTGCTTACTGCCTGCAATAAAGATTTCCAAAGGGGTTGCTTTGCCAATATTTATTTTCCTTTATGGAAGGCTTTAGTGCTTTTACTTGAAATAGTAATAACAATCTTGGAAGAACATGAGCTTTAACTGCTGTCTTGTAATAATGGAAATGTGAATGAACCTCCATCTCACCATCCTTTGAATCAGGCTCCATGCCATCATGTCCATCCACCTCCTTGCTTTCTTCTTCATTCCAAACTCTCGTCTTTCTTTCCCTGCTTTCCTGACTTGCTGATCTGGAAGCCAATATGACAGAGGAAGGCATCTCTTTTCCCTCTCCTCTTTGGTGCCTTGCAAGCCAGGTAAGCAGGTGTCTGACAGAGAGGAAGGGCTTAATTCCTTTATCAGTTCACATTAAAATGGAGCCAACTTCTGGAGACATGATGTTCCAAATAGAAGTGAGCATTAAGAGCTGCTGAAATTTGTTTTTATGAGGCAGGAGATGTGAAATTTGACAACCTCACTAATGCCTTCTTTGGTGGTCTTTCAGCTTTATTACTGAATGTACTTGCCATCTGTGCAGCTGACGGTTTCCCAATATGCTCATGCTAACTCTGCAGTCAGATTATCACAATGCAACAAGAACTTCCTTTAGTATTTTGCTGTCCTACAACAAACTCTCTGTCCAGGCAGCTCTCACCTCTGGGGTTACCTCTGCTGTGACTGTAATGAAACTAGACACAGGCAACTAACTCTAGAAGAGACTATTTAGAACACTAGAGCAATAATGGAAAATAAAGGCTCCTGTTTTGGCACTATTTGGACTCTAATGAAGTTCTTTATCCTTTGCCAGCAGTTTCAGGTGCAAATAGACATGTTGCAGGAGGAGATCTGTGATTAGGATCTCTGTGTTTTAATTTTTTTTAATTAACAGCAGCCGTAGGGTGCAGTGAACTCAGATCAAGAATGTGAAGCTGTTGAACAAAGAGGTGGTTAACTGTTTTTTGCCTCTGCCAGTTAAAATCTTCACACAGTATTTGCCCCATCAATGGCTGGTATTTGTTCTGCAGGGAAAACTTTCAGGTACTTTATGGTTATGCATTTTCTTCCAGAGGATAAATAGTAACTTGGGGCAGGAGTATAGGAGAGTAGGGAAATGGTACAATGAAAGAGTCGAATCCTCCTCATCCCCCCATCTGTCTGTCTGTCTCTCTCTCTCTCTCTCTCACACACACACACATACACACACATACAGTGTCCTTGTGCGACACCTGGTTTCATCTTGTGAATCCAGCATTATCTTCCAAGTAAGCCTAAGAAAACCATATGAAATTCTTGGGGCCACTATATGTCAATAGGTGACTTAAGACACATATGCATGCATCAGTCCAGGAGAAGGTGGGGAGGGAATAGAGCCAGGTTTTACCTCTGCTTGACCAGGGTGCTCTTTTTTCAATTTGGAAAAAAAAATGTTGAGTTGCTCACACTCTGCCCTGGCCTAAAGTAGGTTTGGAGAACATGTGGCCCTCCAGATTTTGTTGGATTCTAACTCCCATCATTCCTAACATGGGCCCAGTGAGATATGATGCAATCTGTAGCCTGCTAACATCTGAAGGGGACCACTTACTCACCCTGGCCCCTCAAGTAAAGTTGGCTTTTAAGAGCCTTCCATGACACTTGCAGAAGGGGAAATCTGTGCAGAGATCACCTCCCCTCTCAGTCCCTGTCATTCCTGGCAACCAAGCCCCTCCTCATCTTACTGTGTTGGATGAATGCAAGTGATGGTGACTCATCCCTGCATACGCCGAGACGCTTTGTGTTTTGATTGTTCCTTGAATTACTAGTGAATATTTTATTGTAAAGATCAGGAAACTGTCACATTTCTATTATCACTCTCTATTCATTTCCTTGGCAAGCTTCTGAGCCCATCAAAGAATGACAAATGGCATTAAGTATAGGGATCACTTCACTGCACCCACAGCTGAAATTAAATCCCATTGGGCGTAGGATGTAGCAGCCACAGAACACCACAGGCTCCTCGGTGCTCCCTAGACCTGTTTCACACACAAGCTATATTTTCTATGAGGAAGCCACATATACATTGATACCAGCTTGTGAACTATATATAGTGTTCAGGTCAGAATGCCTTTGTGGGGAGCCAGTGATTTATGAGCTAAAAGCAGAGCTTTAAAAAAACTTGTCTGGACCACAACTCCCATCATCCCTGGCAGATTCCATGAGTTTTATCCCAAATACATAATGCTTCAAGCAACGTATGTGTCCATTGCTTGTCCCCCTGGCTCAAATTTCCAATTCCAGCCAGAATTATCATATTGTTATCTTTCCCTCACCCTCTTTGTTCTTACACAGTATAAAGTTTGCACGATGCATATCAATGATAACAGATAAACCTCACAAGTGTTTTTTCTGCCTATTAGGTTGATAGATTTAGCCATCTCTCCTTGACAATCCTCTGGTTAGGGTGGCACCAAAAGTATAATTGTTGGTCACAGATCACACAACTGTTAAATTATCTGGCCTGAGGCAAACAAAGAAATGAGTTGCTGGTTTGTCTCTTCTGAACTTTCCTCCTAAAAAGCCTTGGGTCTTATGCAAATCCTATGCTGTCAGCTATTAGCTAGCACGCTTGTTTCTCCCAGGCAACCAAAGTCTAAATGGAGGAGAGATGGATGAAAAGGGGACTGAGAGCTGGCACAGGGGCATGCTACTGATATGCTTTGCGGCTTCTACCTCCTTCCATAATGTATTGATAAATCTTCAAGAGGAACATCAGAAAATGAAAAGAGCCTTCTTTTCATTGCTGGTGGGTTGGAAAGGAATGAAGGGGAAAATAAAAGACTGAGAGGTGGCGGTACTGGAGAGAAAGAATTTGGGAATTGGCTGCAATGAACAAAAGTAGGAGTGAAAGAGGAAACCGGGAAGTAAAGGACTCATACATATGTGTTCAGCCTTTACAATGAAAATTCTACATAAGCATATATATATATTCAATGACAAGTGGCAATATGCTCCGAGATGCTTTGGAATATGCATTGTGTGGGAGGGCAAGTGATGGCAGCTTGTCACTAGTAGGCTTTGAATTTCAAAAACAGCATTATAAGACAAATACCTTCACTAACAATCATTTATTTAAATCCCCTGAAATACAGAGCAACATGTAATTATAAGAAACACAAAACTTAACAAGCCTTGCATTGTTGTGGGCCTCTGAGGGGAGGATTTATTCCCTAACTGTCCCTATTAGCTTCCTTTTCATTTTTCTCCTTTGGACTGCTATCAACGAAGGCTTGCCACTTAAAAAGGGAATATACAAAATAAGACTCAGGTAGGTTTCTTCCCTTCATTCAAAGGTGACTGATGGCCCCCATGCTATGGGGTGGTGAACCTTCAAAATAAATTTATTACATTTGATGGCTTTTAAAAAATGTGGGCTAAAGCCTGGAGTGTCTTCACCACCTCATTGACTTGGGAGCAACCAGACACTAGCAGCTTCAGTACTGAAAACAGTCTCATGGGCTGTCCCAACAACACTCCCATTATATTGCATACTTCAGGGCTGGGCCCTGTAAATAAATTGTGGGAATG